ACACCGGTGAACAGGCATAGAGGGCAGGAGAAGTGCCAGGAGTCTCCCTCTGCCACTGTCAGCCTGGTTTTTTGTGGCAGGGTCTCTCCCTGAATCTAGACGTTGTGCTTTTCCATTTATCTTTTCAGCTTGGCTAGCAGCCAGCAACCCCAGCTTCCTCCTGCCTCTGACCCCTGGTGCTGGAGCTGCAGATGCTATGCAGGCCTCACCCTTCTTGTCCATGGGTGATGGGATCTGAACTCAGGACCTCACAATGCACAGTAAGTGCTCTCAACCAGTAAGATGTCTTTCCAGCCCCTCATAATCATCTTTTCACAAACAAGAACTAAACAAAATGCTGCTATAAAGACAGGTAAAGCCAACAAAATACAATCCTAACAAATTTACCTTTGTTATTTTCTATCATGGCATTCCTAGTGAGCATTGTTGCTGATGTCACCATCTTTACTGAAGGCTGGTACCCACCTCCTGCATTTGTTAATTTTTGTTTTTCTCAAGTTATCTTATCAAACATCTAGATTTCATTTTTGTTTCTACCCCTGGTATTAGAAATCAAAACCCAAGGTCTTCCACGGGCTGAGAAGAGCTCTAGCACTTGGCTATCCTCAGACCTTGCTCTTCTCACCAGAGTCTTAGCACGCAGCCCAGGCTGGCCATGTGCTTGCTGTGAAGCCAAGGCTGACTTCAAACCTGGTCCTTCCTCGCCTCCCAGGTGCTGGGACTACAGAACTGCACCACCAGGCTCAGGTTCCATTAGACTGTTGCTCTGTTTGGGCACTGACTCTGGCCCTCCACACACCAGGTAATGCTCCACTTGGCCTACATCCCCAGCCCTCCATTAAGTTTTGATCAGTAAAAGAGCTTAAAAAACCGACACTATTTTCTTTAATATTCATAACTAAGAAGTTATGTTTTGGCTACAAGCAGACTAATATCTCTCTTTAAATGAGAATCTGGTTTATAGCACAACTCAGTTTTCTTTTTCTTATTTCTCAATCTGGAATGGGAACTACTACAGAAACAGGCAAGGGGTGGCAATGGCAGGAATCATACTCAGTAATTCATAGAAAGGAATGTGCAACAACACCCAAACCCACTTAATAAACACAGAATAAATAAACACTCAATTGTACTTGTTTTAAAGTTACTGATTTAAGGGTGCTACCCTAAAGCCAGGGGCAGAGGCACACACCTGTAGACCCAGAGATGACGCAAGAGGGCCATGTGCCTAGAACTCCAGGACAGCATGGTCCACGCAGCAAGACCCCATCTCAAAATAAAGGAGCAAGGGAGACTATGGAAACAGCTTGAGTATGAGAACTTGAGTTTGATCCTAAAACCCATACAAAATGACAGTGTTGGGAGGGCAGAGAGAAGCAGATCCTTGGGACTCTCTGGCCAGTCAGTCTGGCTTATTTGGTGAACTTGAGGCCAGTAAGAGACCATGTCTCAAAAACAAGATGGACAGCATCTGAGGAACAACATGGGAATTGTCCTCTGTACTCTACATGCATTAACACACATGCACACATGTATCATCACCCATATGAGCACGCACGCACACACGTAAAACACCCTATATAATTCCTTCAAGTATTCCATTTGTTATGAATTTGAAAACCTGGAGTTTAATCTATAGAAGTTAAATTTCAAATAGTTTATAAAAATATTCCCATGCAGGCCAGCAAAATGGCTCAGAGTTAAAGAAGCTCTCTGAACCACATCACCAGGGTATATTTTTCACAATGATGTGTTTACATAGTAAAATAGTTTATCTATATCTTATGAGATAAATGATAAGAATAGTTGAACACAACCTACATTATTTAATTAGAGTTTGTGAATTTAACATATTTGGAGAGACGGAAAGCCAGCAACATTTTGTTGTTGTTGTTGTTCTTTTCTTCCCATGTTCACTCCCTCCCCTGACTGATTTCTAGAAATTTCAGCTATTTTGTTAATAGGCAAGTGGGCAAAATATGTTTCTGGACTTAAACATATTTTACATTAAAAAGTTACAAACAATCATTTTTGAGAAATACATATCCCAATATAGAAAGAAAATCTAATACATATCTTTATTTTGCATTCCATTTAAAGTTTACCATTTTAAGATTTAGTATGTACCTCTGTTAATCTTTAAAATACCTTTTGCAGTCAAATCTAGTAATGTCATAGAGTTTTCCTTAAAAAAAACCTCAAGCCTTTTGGTAATTAGTTTATAACCTGATTTTCAGAAATGTGGAACTATTGCTTCTTTATCCTAAGACTCAACAGTAAGAACACCTTCCTACAACAGAAAACTGGTTTTAACACACTTTTACTATTAAACTGTTTGAATGTAACTCACTAAGTCTGCAGCATATCAAGTTTCACATGTACAGATGAGACATGAGCAACAGAAGGTCATCCACTGGGAGCTCTCCATCGGAAACAAGCATGTTAGCTTTCAAGTCTAACGTAAACAAGTCTCTCGGGTTTTGTGTTTCTTCCCAGTATAATGTATGCTCAAATGCATCCCTACAAAAACGCCAACACTGCTGATGTGCATGAGACGTGACCGTGCTGTCAGTGCTCTGCACCAGCCATCAGAACTCCCCAACTGTGTTTGTACCCGGTACCTGAGTTTGCTCACACACTTCCCAACACTTTAAACCGAGAAATGGACCAAGCCACTGCTGGGAAAAGCTCAAGTTCCCTTTTAACACTGAGATACAAAGCCAAGCACAGAAGGAAGGAACATGATACAAAGAACATCATAAGCAGCTATGTCGAAGTCTTAGAGTTCTGAGGAGGAGGATGACAATAACATCAAAATCCTTAATCCTCCCAACAACTCACAAACTTTCAAACTGAGGAGTTCAGAAACCTGCCCCTGAGCAGAGAGCCTGTAACTGGGACAACCAGGGCCTCAAACTAGTCTATCTTTGTGTGTGTGTGTGTGTGTGTATGTGCATGTTCGTTCAGAGAGCATCAAGTCCCTGGAGCTAGAGTTATAGGCATTTGTTACAACACCTGATGGGCAAAGTAAACTCCAGTCTTCTGAGAAAACAGCAAGTACTTTTAAACAATAAGCCATCTCTCTAGCCCCAAGAGGCCTAGACTCTTAATCATTATACTGTCATTGCCTATTTTCTCTAGTCCCTAGTTAGAAAGCATTTATTTAATACCACTGTATACCTGCTAGCCTCTTGGGATTCTGTTGTAGAATATTATTTTAAGGTGTGTTACTTTTGTTTATGTTGCATTTGTTTAACTCTGTGAAGCTGTGTTACTTTGCCTGTCTAAAACACCTGATAGTCTAATAAAGAGCTGAACAGCCAATAGTGAGGCAGGAGAAAGGATAAGCAGGGCTGGCGGCAGAGAGAATATATAGAAGGAGAAACCTAGGAGGAGAAAAGGAAAGAAGAGGTAGCCAGAGGAGGAGGAGGACTCCAGGGGCCAGCCACCCAGCTACACAACCAGCAACAGAATACGAGTAAGATTTACAAAAGTAAGAGAATGGGAAAAGCCCAGAGGCAAAAGGTAGACAGGATAATTTAAGTCAAGAAAAGCTGGTTACAAACAAGCCAAGGTAAGTATAATAAAGAATAAGCCTCCACGTGTGTATTTATTTGGGAGCTGGGTCATGGGCCCCCCAACAACAGAATTCCAAAATATGAAAGCATTTACTATATAAGAAATACCATGCTAGATGCTTAAGAGATTTAAAAAAAAAAAAGGTAAGTATGGATCCTGTTTTCCTACCCATTCTGTTAGCCTGTGTGTTTTTGTGGGTGAATTGAGTCCATTGATATTAACAGATATTAATGACCAGTGATTGTTAATTCTTGTTATTTTTGGTTTTGTTGGTGGTGGCAGTGTGTGTGTATGTTTCCCTTCTTTGGGATTTGCTGGTGTGAGGTTATCTATTGCCTGAATTGAGATGATCAAGTTGGAGGAGAGACGGAGAAGGACAGCAAAGAAAGAGATATCTTGACAGAGGGAGTATTAGAGGGTTAGGGAGGAAGCTGGTACTACAGAAATCTCCAGGAACCACAAGGATGACCCCAGCCAAGACTCGTAGCAATGGTGGAGAGGGTGCCTGAACTAGCCTTCCCCTGTTATCAGATTGGTGACTACCCTAATTATCATCATAGAACCTTCATCCAGTAACTGATAGAAACAGATACAGTGATCCACAGCCAAGCACTTGGCCAAGCTCCTGGAGATGAGTTGAAGAGAGGGAGGAGGGATTACATGAGTAAGGTGGGTCAAGATCATAATAAGGAAAACCACAGAGACATCTGACCCAAGCTAGTGGGAGCTCACAGACTCTGGACTGACAGATGGTGAATATGCATGGGACCGAACTAGGCCCTCTGAATGTGGGTGACAGTTGTATTGCTTGATCTGTTTGTAGGGCCCCTGGCAGAGGGACCAGGACTTATCCCAAGTACATGAACTGGCTTTTTATAGCCCATTCCCTATGGTGGGATGCCTTGTTCAGCCTTGATTCGGGAGGAGGGGCTTGGTCCTGCCCCAACTTGGTATGCCAGCCTTGGCTGACTACCCAAGGGAGGTCTGACCCCTATGAGGAGTGGATGGAGGGTAGGGTAGGGGGAAGAGGGGGCAGATTTAGAGGGGAGGAGGAGAAGGGGAGGAAGGGGGAACTGTGGTTGGCATGCAAAATGAAAAATAAAATAAAATGTAAAAAAAAAAAAAAAAAAAAGATAAGTAAATGACTTTGCCCTCAGGTCCCAAACAGAATACAGATCGTGTGTGTGTGTGTGTGTGTGTGTGTGTGTGTGTGTGTGTGTGTGTGTGTGTGTTTGTCATTAAAGATTTTTACAGTTCTGTCATAAAAATTTTATAATCAATTGTTATCGATAAGAACTTCTAAAACCTACAAATTCCCTAGGACGTTTTCATAAAGTAACATCTCTCCCATCACCAAACTGCTCATGCACTTTAATATTACAGGGAGGTGAAAGAGCACTGAGTATGTGTCATCAACTTACATTCTCAATGACAAATGTCCACTCTTTGTCTTCAAATTCTTCTGCATGAGGATCCTGCAACAAAAGCAAATTATGAGAAGTACAAAACACTTATCTTTAGTCCAATTAATACAATCAGGAAAATACAAATAAGCTTGTTTGTAGTTTTACTAACTTCTTAAAAGGAAGGAGCACAATAACTTTTTAAAGAAAACTATCTGAGTAATTTCTCTAAAAAAATCATTATTTTATATTGAGAAATTCTTTTCTTTTTGTTGACACATCTCTCCCAGTACCACATCTATGACAAGACACAGACACATGATCACAGACAGACAACTCTGTGAGTCAACTAGTATTTCGTTGACATACTAAGTGTTCACAGAAAGTCCTTCTCTTACCTTTATAACTCCTGTATATGAAACTAAATGCCTCCCTTAAGCCAGTGTTCTGATACAGAGATTATGTAAGCCCCTGGAATTTCCAAGTATTCCGAGGGATTTCATAATCAGACAAAAGAGCCAATCAACATGAGCTGTTGACAGCCCTCTTCCCGCTTCTGTCAAGAGAAGACCTAAGGAATCCAGGGTTGAGGGATCCTGCTACCCAGGTACAATACTGTCTGTTCAGTTGACAAATACTGACTACTACCCTAGAGACTACAGAAGTAGGCTATGGGCTCATGCATACTTGTTCGTGCATTTAGAGACAAAGACCATACACAACTATGAATAAGCATATGATAAATGAAATAAAAGACCAAGATGGAGATCAGAAAACAACACATTTTATCTTGCAGAAATGAAGAGGAAAAGTTTCACAAGAGACAAAATACCCAGATTCAGCAGAACTATGTGATTTCTACAGATTAGAAGTAAAGGCAACAGAGTGTAACACACAGAGAACAAGGCAGAGCATTCATCATCCTCTGCTTCCTGACTGCGGATGGATGTTCCTGCCGCAGGCCTTCCCCACCACCATGCACAACTTCTCCTTCAAGTTGGGATGTCAGGGTAGATTATCATAGCAAAAGGGAAGTAACTAAGACATGGGGCAAGAAAAATAGCAATATTGTAACTTTTAAGTTCTAGATTCTTCATATAGGAATTGGCATTCTTTCAAATCCATTTCAAAGTGATCAAAAATTATACAAAGAAAAAATAATTCAATAACTTTAAAAAGAGAAAGAAAATAGTGGGCTCATAAGACATTTATATTCAATGTATTCAAATTCAAGTCTACGTATGAGGGGTAGGTGTGGAGATAGCCACAGTACGATGGCATTTCAGTAGAGCAGACTAAAATAGGCACACCCACATGGAGATGGACTCCGGTATCTCTGTACAGGAGCTCCACCTGCTCCTCACAGAAAAGCATCTTATTCATAATCTTATATCATAATCTTCTGTTGCTATGGTGTAGTGGGTAGTTGTTTCAGCTTTGACCCAAAAGTAGTACCCCTAGTGAGGCTTCTGGTAACTGCCACGCCTACCTATGACCTGCCCCTGGGGCGGGGCCGAGATGGGAGCCCTTAAGACCCAAGATCCGGATGTGCTGGGTCTCTTGATCCCTTGTGCTCCTGGATGCTGGATGGTAGACTGAGCAGAGTTCTCCAGAGAACACCACTGGACTACACCTCACCTCTTCCGGATCCTGTAACCAACCCCTTTACTGGCTGTAAGTTACCCCAAAATAAACATCCTTTTAACTACATGGAGTTACCTTAATAAATCCCCCATTATCTGGCGCTCATGTGGGGCAAACTCCAAACACCTGGGTGGCCTCCTCCCTCAGCTTCTTCTGTGGCTGCTGTGGCACGCTTTCCACACTTCCCAGTTTTCTTCCCTGCCTCTTTTAAAATTCCCACCCCTCCTGGGGACCAAGCGCTTACCCGTTCAGCTCATAACCACCCCATAATCGCCCGGTACTGCTCCCTCCCTCCCAGCTTGCCAGCATGTGCCTGCCAAGTTCTGTACGGCCAAGGAGCACCTCTGCTGTGAGTCTGGTTCCATTCCCCACTCAAGGGAGCTGCTGAGTGCAGACCCAGCTCCCCTGGTAAGCTTAGCCCAAGACCAGTGAAAAGCCCCCCCACCTCCCCGCGCCCCTGCCGCTGGCTCCCACCTGAACCTAAGGCGCCCACCGTCTCACCCAGACGCTGCTCAGAGGCTGTCTGGCTAAAGTAGATGCTCTGAGGGTACCTGCTCCTGGGGCTCAGAGGCGCTGAGGGGGTTTTGGAGCCACAGCTGCCAGCCATCATCCTTGCTGCCTGGAGTTCTGTATGCACTGAGCTCAGGCCACTCAACCACACACACCCGCCTCTTGGCTGAGGAAAGGGGAAAGGCCAGGCAGACCATGAAAGCCAAGCCAGGCCCTGAAGCTCCAGGGAGTCACAGGAAGATCTGCCTATGCCACCTTGCTGCTGCATCCCGCACCTCCTCCACACAGGCACACAGGACACTCCCACCTGCAGCTGCCGCCAGCCAAAGCCTTCAGCTGGTATACAACAACACCTGCTAGCCAAAAAGCACTACTACACCCAAAAAAAACATCGCAAGGGCAGTAAGATAAGCAAGCCAGTGCTTTACTTTAGGTAAGAGTACTTGATAATTTTACACCTTGAAACAGACTAGCAAATTTTGAGTAATTCTTATAATATGGATGAAAAATTACTTCACAAGAATTTAAAAACATGAATGACATTTTCCTGGAAATATATGACCTTCCTAAGGCCTATGTGGCCTGTAACATTTTGGCATTTACCATAATAATTCACACAGCATTCAAATACTGGTTTAATAATAATAACAAAGATGAGTCATTATTGGGACTGATACAGACTTTAAAAGATAGCAATGAAAGCTTACATAAAAGATTCTTTCTCTGGAATCTGCTAACAAGGATTTACAAAATAGTAATAAAAATTTACAAAACAGGCTTCTTAGTTTGGAAACTGCTAACTTAATACAAGAACTTCAGTCCATTAATAATAAATGTATAGCCAAATTTGATTTTATTGATAATAAATATGAATACTTAATGGATAGAACAATAACTCTCCAGGGTGAAGCTATTGCTACTCAGACACTTTACAAGGAAGAAAGATTATCATTAACTGATAAAATAAGTTCTATGGAATGATATGTTTCAGAAGAACATAAAAAGTTGCATGACTCCATGAGAAATCTGGAATCCCTTGCAATAGAGGAGGTTCACTCCCTAGAACAGACTCTAGGTGCTCATTTGCAAGCCTGGAAGAAACTCTCAGTAAATGAGACAAGGGACCTAATAAGTAGAAGGGCAAGACCATACAGGTCATAACATCTCCAGATGGCTCTCATACAATGGCTTATCCTGTCATTATCCAGGAGAGGCCAGCACATGACAGACACCCTGAGCCTTCGTGGAATATACATTACAACCGATTTCGATGAGAGATTTTTTTAAATCTATGAAAGAAGCAATAGTCACATATAGAATACACTCAACATATGTAAGACATGTTAAATTCATGATCTACCTCACAAAGAGTCATTCCAGATGACTGGAATCAGTTAATTTCAGCTGTTCTAGAATATAGCCAGCAGTTACAATGGAAAAGATGGTTGAGAGAAAAGGCAAGAAATATACAGCAACAAAGTATATAGAAATATACAAGAAATATAGAGCAAACAAAGCAACAAAGAGGTGTTGAGATCTCCCAAGATCAAATTTTTGGTGAGGTACATTTTGCTGATAGGAACGTACAAGCCACTTATGATGAGCATACAATATCCCTATGCTGTACAGCAGCTCTAAATGCTTGGGGGAAAAAAATCCAGAACCAGAAAAACCAACTGAGGTATACACAAAGGTATTTCAGGGACTGCAAGAACCTTTCACTGATTTTTTACAAAGGCTGACCACAGTTATAATGAAAGCTGTGTCAGATAAAGAATTAAGATAAGTATTAACTGAGTCCTTGGCGTTCAACAATGCTAATACAGAATGCAAAAGAATACTTATGCCATTAAAGGTCAGATCAGCTCCTTTAAAAGAACAGATTCAGTATACTAATGGTGTTGAGTCTCTTAACTATAGTAATGTGGCTTCAATAGGAGAGACAATTCCCAGAGGTGGAAGAAGGTCCCATGGTGCCAAATGTTTTAAATGTGGTATACGAAGTCATATAAGTAAAAACTGTACATGGGGAGCTCCTACAAGTAATACTCCTTATAGAAATAACCCAAACAGGAGACCCCAAACTTCTGGATTATGTAGAAGATATGGCAAAGGACGATACTAGACCAATGAGTGCAGATCAATAATAGATATATGAGGGACCATTTTACCAGCGAGAAATACCTCAGGGGGCCTCTTACAGGCTCCCAAATCAAACATGGTCCAAACACTTCCCAGCCACTGTATAGGAAATTCTTCTCCAGGTCAATTAAATAAACCAATGCCTAATGTAAAGAACAATACTACACTAGATAATAGAACAGCTCTGATAGATTAATCAAAAATTCCAAAGAAAACAATAAAATGAATATTTTGACAGACTTCCATAAATGAACAAAGACCAAAGCTTAGAATTCAAATAATGGCATTGTTCTGGACGGCCTGGTAGACACAGGTATGGATGTGACTATAATTACACCAAAATCATGGCATCCAAATTAGCCTCTTCAAGAGGTAGATGTCCAATTTCTAGGGGTTGGAACCCTATCTCAAATAAAACAGAGTTCGAGATGGGTTGAATGCATAGAGCCAGAAGGACAGCGAGGAAGGCTGAAGCCATATGTAGCAAATGTAGCAGTGAATCTTTGAGGCCGAGATCTGTTACAGAAGAATACTCAGATTAAAATTCCTACACTCCTAGAAAAGGAACACAGACCAATGCATGTTTCTAAAAATAATATCATAACATGCTATAAAAAAGAGTCACCAACTGTTCAAGCTGTATATAAACAGAATACAACTGCTGTTGAACTCTCAGAAGTACCAACTGCCTTACCTTTAAAATGGCTAATAAACTAATAAACCTGTCTGGGTTGAACAATGGCCTTTGACAAAAGAGAAGCTACAAGCTTTAGAAC